CAACTAAATATTTTTGATTTACCAGAATTGCTAGAACAGATCTTATATTTTCTAGAAATCCATCAATCCCTCTATTCCACTTTATTTGTTAACCATCTTTGGTATTACTGCGATGCTTCTATTCTATGGCAACACATTGAGTTTTTCAACAAAGATTATTAGCAAAGCCGGCGTGCCCTAAACATGTCTTGGATTCTTATTCAGTGATTGATAAACTTTGAAAGAGTTATGTGTAGAAAAATAAAGCCAATCTATTGCGCCAAGATGGTATATCTCAGATTGGAAGATTTAAAAATCTCAGATGCATTGATTAGTGCGATTCTACACTCATGTTCAGATATACGCTTTCTTATTCTTGATAAAAGTAAGGGTTTCACTAATATACCAATTATAGAAATTGCGAGATTTTCTCCAAAACTACAGCATCTGAGTCTTAATTCATATATATGTCTCACTAATCAATGTATCACTGAAATTACTCACTCATGCTCAAATTTAGACATCTTGAGCTTGGTGATTGCTCGATTGGTAATAAAGCTATCGAGAAGATAGCTAGCAACTGTACTAATTTGGAATATCTTAGTTTGAAGAGGTGTAGAAGGATTAGTAATAAAGTGCTAAAAAAACTCAATCTGAAAATTAAAATCGAACGTCCAGATTATTCCGATGATGAATTCTTAGATTCTGATTTACCTCCACTTATTCCAATCTTTACCAGTAGATAAAATGGGATAGCTATAACCAGGTTCTTTAGAGACTACTATTTGAGTTATACATCAGATGAAACAGATCTTATTTCTGCAATTGTTAATTATCTCAGAGAGAATCCTCTAACGTGAGTTATAAATAATTACATTTATTACTGAAGAATGGGTAATTATTTACTAAGTTATTTTTTCACGGTAATATAAATTATTAAATATACTTAATATGTTCGTAAATACACTCATAAAGGGAAAAATCCCAGTAAAAGCATTAATTGGTACATCGTCAAAGTTTAATACCATTAGCAAGAGCTTGTTCGATAAGCTTAAAGAAGATTATGGAATACATGATCCTGTTGAGAATCTCTATGGGGATGTAATAGGTGAAATAAAATGTTTAGATTTGCAATTTTGCTATAAAGGAAAGTGGTGAAGTTTAGATGGTACCGAAGTAATAGACTTTCAAATTCGCAAAAATTCATTGTTTGATTTGGTTCTGGGACAAGAATGGTTATGGATGCATGAAGCAAAAATAAGCTTTGGATATTCTCCCAAAACCTGTGTCTGCCATGCTAAAATTGTAATCGATGGTATGAGTATCCCATTAATCAAAGAAAAAAGTAATAAAGCCAGCTCTAGTAAAAATAACTTATTTCATTCTGAAACAGAAATCGATAAACCTGATCTAAATTTAGAAAAGTTTATAGATATATTTAAGAAATTATCTATAGAGACTAATTTATCCAGTTCTGATTCAGAATCCATGGGTTCAGACTGGTATGATCTTGATCTAAAAAAACCCCGAAAGAAACGCATCCATAATACAAAGAAAAAGGTTATCTCTCCTAGCTGAAAACATTGTAGAAATAAGTCAATTAGAACGAAGTAATATTTAATCCAGAAAATTATTATGGGTGGAATCAACATAGAAGTATTTCAGAGAAATGGCATATTACTGCGCTACATTACTGCATCCTGGTGAGATGGTGTCCTGCCTCAGCAACTAGAAAAAATAAACACTATACTGCATTACTGCACAAAGTGGACTGATCATTGAATAAATAAACCTGCCTACATCTGGCCCACTTCCATACCACCTACAGAAAATATTTGGGATGGTGAAGGATTAAGAGTGAAAAGTGAAGCCTTCTGCCAATATTTTATATAAAAATTACGCAGAAGGCTTCACTCTTTGAAAAGTGGCATATCTATAGAGGATGGAAGCACAGGTGTAAGATTTGTGACGAATGCATTCATCATTCACATCTATATTGCAAAACATGCAAAAAAGCAGCGAATTGAATATATAAGCAGTGTAAATGTGATAATGTGTTAGAATAAATTTCGCATACGTATAAATTTATCTGTACTATAATACCTTACAAGGCTTATCATTATGCATAACTCATATGAAATAAGTAAAAAGTACCATTTTTTTAAGTTTTTCTCGAAATAGTACTCTAACCCAAATTCGGTCAACAATCTCATGACACATACGTTATCTGTGCAACCAAATCTTTATATGAATTTTTTTGAATTTTATTTACAAACGTTCATAGAAAAAATAATATCCAAGCTTTAGATCTACTCCAAAGCTGGTACAAAAATTTATTCATTCTAACCAAAACATATATATTTCCGCTTTTATAGTCTTTATAATAAAAAATAAAGGCTCTACTAGGTAGTCGGGCGAAGTATAATACATAGAGATCTTTCTCTATGCCATAATGCTGAAAATCTCAAGATCTCCAACATGCATCCCACATGCCTAAGGGTCCACCCTATGACCAACGTAGTGTAATGTAGAATGTAAAAAAATGACGTAGAGTGCATATAGGTCCTTTTTCTGCTATTCTCTTGTCATTTGTACTGCTATTCAGAGAAGAGCAAAATCCATTTATAAAGGGGAGTATAATGAAGTTATGGAAGTTTATCACTTTACAGTAATTAAAAAATCAAACTAACATTTATTGCTTTCAAAATGTCTGAAAATTATTTTTACCTTAACCGCAATCAACGAAGCAATGTATTGTATTTTAAAGAATGGTTGCCAAATGTCTATCTACTGAAGGTTAAGACTTTGAGAAGAAACAACGTTAATATAGCAGAATCTCAATACCGCCAGGAGCTAGAAGAAGCTATAACTACGTGTGGGACAAATAATTCAAAAAATAAGCGAAAGCTAGTGGAGATCTTATCTTAGTTTAACGTAACTTCTAAGGTATGTAATAAAAAATGGGTTATCTATTTTTTCGGAAGATGATGAACAATTTTGCAGAAGGGGATGGAAAAATAACAACATAGGCCTATGTTGCTGTCTGTATCTGGGTGTACGTGATAAAGATTTTGCGTATGTCTTAGCTTACGGAACGCTAGCACCGTAAGCATCGAAGGGTGCAGTTCAGGGGATTCATCATTCTGGTGTAGGTCTCACACTAGGTTCGGTACGAGCTATGCCTTGTGTACCTCGTCGCTGACCATGGGCATGGATCCCATTTATATTATAGAAAATGAATAACTTTGGAATAGCTGATTTCATATATTATATTATATAATTATATTATCTTGAAGATACTAGATTAAGTTATTTTTCTTCTTCTGTTTTAGGAACAACATCAAAAATTTTATAAAGAAGCTTGGATGAAAGAAAAAGAGAAAGTAAGTATAAATATATATGTACCTCATACTATCCAAAACGAAAAGCACTTATCTTTTTTCATTTTTTACTAATATAGCGACAAGCTATGGAACAGGAACGTAACGTTAATATAATTTAAGAGAATATAGAATTTATATTAAGCGGATGTGTAAGTAAATATCATAATTTTGATTTCTGGTGTGTTTATTGTTAATTGGGAAATATTATCTATAGAAAGTTAAGCTAGGAAATAGTTGCTCGGAAGCTACTATAGTCGCATATATCGAAATTGTTCGTCATTTGGAATGCTTAGATCCAGCGATGATTAAACCAGAAGTTCCTTTAGCATCTGGTATTATTAATCTCTCTAGAAATGAAGACCCATTTGTAAATTTGTTATCGTCTAGGTCTAAGCAGATTTTGATGCACCATAAGTTCGGCAATAATGAATTTCTGGGAGAAATTAAATTCATGGTAGATGATTTGGTAGACACGTATAAAGATCTAAAACCTGACTTTGATCCTGTGTTAATGCGACCAATAGCCTTTCTACAAGGAGAAATGTCAATTGAATCCAGACGTATACTGATGGCAGTTTTTGACTTGTTAGAAGGATTGTAAGTTATTTGCGTTAAATTATGTGTATATTTATATAAGGTTATATTATTAATTAAGAGTATTTCTAATTCCAGGCAACATATTTGGAGTCTGAGACCATTATTAATAGAAGATGATTACAGCGAGAACTCATATGTAATTCATGCTGTATCAAAGGTTTTAGATCCAATCTTCACATATTCGAAGTGGTCCCTTAAACGTGCATGATAATATATATACTGTAATTATTTTTATAATGATCATTATAAATATGTAAATACCTGCTAAATGCTATACATAAATTTTAATACGTATAGGTCTGAGCAGACAAACAAGTCATCACAGTCTAGGATGGAACGAATAGAAGTCACGAATTCAGGAAAGAAGCCAGATCTACAAGTTTTGTTAAAGCTTGACACAGTGGAAAATAAAATAGTACTTGCTGAGGTTTCATGATTACTGCCTCAACAAGATAAAGAAATTATCAACTGGAAAAAATTGGTATGTATTTGCAAAGATTGTTTTGATGAATGATATAACATTTTTTTTGATGGGAGGGATGATACTACCGATATAGCCAGATCAATAAATGTCAAGTTAGGAAAAGTTCCTGTTTTAGGTATCCAAGTAATACGAGATCGTGTGGTTGTTTCTGCATTAGACTTATTTGAAGACAATTTTTATCGGGTTTTCCAAATATCTGAGTTGGTTATACTATTATATATTTCCTCATGCCTGATAGTTGAAGAATTTTTAAAAAACACCTTTAAAATGAGGTTCGTGGTAGAAAAAATTATTGCAATGTCTGTTGATGTGAAGGACGAAATTAGTCTTTTGCTAGTAACTAAAGATCGGACTCCATCAACATCATTCATGTTAACAACATATTCTCCACCAAAAAATTTATAGATAAAAAATTTCTGAATATGTATATTTTTATTCTGTATTTTGTTTTT